TATCTACCCAAAAGACAGGAGAACGCTCAGTCGGAAAAGCACTTGCACAACTGTATTCATTGCAGCATTATTCATGATTGCTAAGACATGGAACCAATACCTGGTTTTTGCTACCGTACCTGATAGCAAAAACCTCTTAAAAAATGTCAACAAACAGTTGAATGGATGCTACCATATGATCCCACAATTCCACTCCTGGGTATCTACCCAAAAGACAGGAGAACGCTCAGTCGGAAAAGCACTTGCACAACTGTATTCATTGCAGCATTATTCATGATTGCTAAGACATGGAACCAATACCTGGTTTTTGCTACCGTACCTGATAGCAAAAACCTCTTAAAAAATGTCAACAAACAGTTGAATGGATTGAAAAATTGTGGCACATATACTCCATAGAATACTGTTCAGCCATAAAAAACAATAAGGCCCTAGAATTTGATAGAAAGTGGATCAATATGGAAGATTTGTTGCTAAATGGAGCAAGTCAAGCTATGAAAAAAAGATATTGTATGACTCCACTTAACATATATTGACTGACTCTTTGGTAGAGACTGAAAGACTGGAGAACATAAAAGCATTAAAAATTGTAATGGACCCTAGAGACAAAGTGGAAGAGTGTGGGAGGGGAAGAGTGTAGGAAAGGAAATTTGGGGGAAAAATAAAGAGGTAAGACACTTATCTGTTGACGAGGATTTGTATAGTATTCTCAACGGGGCTAGACTGAGGTGTATATCATGCCTTTACAATATAAATGATGTATAGCAAATTGAATATATGAATAATAATATTAATAAACAAAAACAATGAGCACTGCCTTCCTATGACAGTAAGCTACTTTGCAAGAAAAACAATGCCTTTAAGACCCCAGAGCCTAATAAATGATGACCATATAAAAGTTGTTCAATAAATCTTTATTGAATGACTAGAAGAATGAACAAACAGATAAATAGAAGGTAAGATTATCTCGGTGAGATAAAATGTGAATACTGGGATCAGCATTTGGTGTAATGGCTATGTCACTTGACTCCCATGTAGTGGATCACGGTTCAAGTCCCAGACCCAGTGGCTTAAACTCATGCCGGGCGTGTGTGTGTGCATGCCCAAGATCCCAAGAGGAGAATGGAGGAGAAGGGATTGTGGCGTGGCCATCCTCCCTGGGGGGTGATTTCTTGCCTTCTGCCTCTCTCTGTCTCTCTCTATCTTTCTGGAGAGCACACGTACCTGATAGCAAAAACCTCTTTAAAAATGTTAATACCAATTAAGTTAAATAGTAATAAATTAAATATGAAATTTATGTTATTAAAATGCACACATTTGTGAATGTAGAGAATGTGGGGATCCTGGCCTAACAAAACTACAAAATGAGATGATTTACTGACTCAGGATACCATTACAATCACTGATCAAAAAGTTCAAACCCTGATACACTTTTAGGTAAATAGGTAAATATTTTTTGTACTGGTATAATATCCAAACAGTCTCCTTGCCTGCTGGTTTGGTCAAATGATTCTGAAGTACTATGTCCTGTTCTGGGTCACACCCTTTAAAAGGGATACAGACACAGAGCAAGAGTTCTTAGGAGGGTGGCTGGGAACTTGAAGAGTCTGGAAACCACATCCAGGTACTACATAGTAGGTGGTATTGGAGTAGCTTCCCACGGAGAAGATCTTGAGTCAAAATTACAACTCTCTCATTTGTAAAAGACTGTCATGAAGAAAAAAGATTAGTCAATCTGTGGAGCTTCAAATAGCAGAACTAAGATCAGTCCATTTAAGACATAAAGGATTACTTTAGCCCAGTATACGGAGATCCTTTCTTACGGAGTGGAACAGAGAGGGAATGAGATACTTCAAACTGGTGAACTCCAAATACTAAGTCCATGGCATTGTTAAATAGTGGAAGTGTAACCATCTTCCAGGTATGTTAGGGGGCAATATCCTACTCAGTGTTAGACCAAATGTGATCACAGGAGCTGTCTGAATGAAATACTCCACATTCTAATCCTTTGGGTTAGTGTTGCCATCAAAGAACATTATTTTCTTTCTTTTTTTTTTTTTTTTGGAGAGGTTTTCTCTAGGGCGCGTGCGCTCGCCAGACAGACAGAGAGAGACAGAGAGACAGAAAGTGAGAAATCACCCCCCAGGGGGGATGGTCACGCCGCAATCCCTTCTCCTCCATTCTCCTCTCAGGATCTTGGGCACGCACACACACGCGCCCGGCGTGAGTTTTAAGCCACCGGGTCCAAAACACGAACTGCGGTCGACTACGGGGGAGTCCAGTGACAGCCATTACGCTAACTGCTGGTCCCTATTGTCTTCTAATAATTAGATTGGAGGATTATTTCCCCATATTTGATAGTTTTGATTAGTTTTCATTACTATGCGACTCTAAATCATGTTTATCAAATTCAGGTCTCAAAATACCAATTCTTTCTTTTTTTTTTTTTTTGGAGAGTTTTTTTTTTGTTTTTGCTGTTTTGTTTTTGCTATAGGGCATGTGCGCTCACCAGACAGACAGAGACAGAGAGATAGAAAGCAAGAAATCCCCCGCCAGAGGGGATGGCCATGCTGTAATCCCTTCTCCTCCATTCTCCTCTCGGGATCTTGGGCACGCACGCACACGCACCCGGCGTGAGTTTAAGCCACAGGGTCTGGGACTCGAACCGCGGTCGACTACGTGGGAGTCCAGCGACATAGCCATTACGCTAACTGCTGGTCCCAAAATATCAATTCTTAAGAGAGTTCATTAAAAAGGGCTCCCTGATCAAATAAGTTTTAAAAATACTGCTCAGTATACCGCTCTTAGAGATTCAGTCAATTGGAACATAATAGAAGGCCTGAAAAGAAATTTGTTTTAATTTTAATTCAGTATTTCCTAAATGTAATTGCCAATGGAACCCTAAAGTTTTGTTTTGTTTTTTATGCCCGACGATGGGGATGTGCACACACACACGTTGGTGAGACAAAAAGTGAGATTGCACACTCCCAACCTGGTCACACAACAATTCCCTTTCCTCCATTTCTCCATACAATCAGGATCCTGAGCCCACGTGGACCCTAGGTGTTTTTTCAAGCATCTGGAGCCAGGATTCCAACCAGAAAAGGCCGTGTGAAGTCTAACTCTGACCTTTCAGCACTTAACCGCTGCAGTACAGGCTTGCTCACTCTAAAAAAAATTTTTTTTAACACTAAGTCTCTTGTCTTCCAAGGTTCTTTGTTAATGCTGACTACTTGCCTAGTTTTTTTTTTTGTTTTTGTTTTGTTTTGTTTTTTTCTTTCTAGGGTCATCATTTAATACTTTTTCTGCAAGAATGTGGCCTCAAACACACTTTCCTAAATTGACCACTAGGTGGCTCTGCTAGTCTTATGAAACTGCTCGCTCTCTCCAACTCCAACCTCTGCCAGGCATGGGCCTTACATAGGAAGGGTTTGAATCTGTGCTCCATAGGTGGTCAGGAGAACTGGGTTATGGATGCACGTGGGGAAAATTCAAATTACTGCCACTTGACCCAGATTGGTGACGTTTTCCAAAAAAATGATAAAGCCCAGGATTTTCTGGGTGTCTCTCCCGGGTGTCCATTTTGAGGATACATTTCCTTGGAGTTTATAAATGAGACTCTTCTCGTCAGTGCAGAGCAGAAGCACCTGCATGTGGCAGGAACCTTTCTTTAAAGGCTCTGTTTTGAACTGAATGGATTTAGTTTCGAAGTCTTTGAGAACAATGAGATGTGAAGCAGGAAGCCAGAGCTGCTGACCTGGAGCTCTTTTACATCTTCACCTCCAGCGTAACCCTCAATACTGCTGAATTCATTTTAATTAGTAGCAGCAGGAGCAATCCAATGGTGTTCTCACGCTGGCTGCACCATCGTGGAAGAATTGATTTTTGTAGGCTGGTGCAATTTAATGACTGAGAAGATAAATCTTATCCTCAAGGCTAAGAAGGGGATATTTCTCATCTAGTTGAAAAAGCTTATACCAGCTGTGTTGTGGGTGGGAAAAAGAGTTAAGGTTTCCAAGGTTTGGTAGTGCCCTTGTGGTTCTATTAATACTAAGAAGGTCTGTGTGAACATAGATGACATCTTCAGAAATCTTCAGAAAAATCCCACCTCTTTATATCAGATTTTTCTGTGTTACCCACTCTCTTTCCCCTTCATAAGTTCTTGCTCAACTTCTGAGTTCATTCATTCAGCATAAATAATTATACCTACTCTGTAAAGCGCATACACAAAGTTCTAGAGGGGACCCAAAGGATTCCCCTGTCATGGAGGTTGGGGAGAGATGAGATAGATGATACAAAATGGTAGCAAGTTTCGAGTCAAAGGTTCAGGGAACAGACCCCAAATAAGGAACTTTCTGCCTGTGGATTCTAAACTAGAACCCTGCATCTGATGTGAAATCCTCTTCAAAATCCTTTCCCAGAGGATTATCTTCCTTCAGTTGCCATTTAACCTTTTCTTTCTTTCTTCTTAAGTTTGTATAGGGCATGTTCATTTGCTAGAGAAAGACAGAGAGAGGGAAAGTGAGAAAGCACTCCTTGGGAGGATGACCTTGTCACAGTCCCTTCTCTAGTCTCCTCTCAGGATTTGGGTACACACACACATGTACACACACACACACACACACACACACACACACACACCAGGTATGATTTTCAAGTCACCAGGACTGGGACTTAAACCACACAGTCAGCCATGTGGGATCCAGGTACCTTAACCCCCATGCCACCTGCTGGCCCAAGGAGACATTACTGAGAGAGTAGGGACATGACCTTTATCCCCAATTCAAACCTATGACAGTTCCAATATCAACTTACTCATTGTGGTTGGGGTAATTTTATTCATAAGCAGTTGCTCTTACAGAAAATACTAACCCCAAACTAGCAGTGTCACACAAAAGGGGAGTCGTCTTGGTTTTGTGTGTGGGGGTGGGGGTGGGGGGGAGCAATTTATGTTCTATCTGCCAAAAGGCAGGAGAAGCACAAACACGACCTGCTCTTTTTAAAAAAAACTAGTTCAAAGTAGAATTTTTTTTATCCCCTCTACTTCAGTAATAAAAAGTAGCGCTGGGATCTGGCACCCAGATTTGGTTTTTACCTTCACCATTTACAAAGTGTTCCCGCATCTGACTTGCATCAGTAGGGTTATTAGTCCATTCACTATGAAGAGAGGTGTTATCGACTCCTTTCTCCTCTTCTTGCCTTCATGCTCATGTTCCTTGGGACGGCTGCTATCTGAAGGTCTTTTAGAGCCACCACGTTGTTTGGCTTCTTCCAAAAACTTGTCCAAACCAAAAGGATCTTCCTCAAACTGAACTGGTCCCTCTCGTCCTCTCTGTCTATGGTCTGAACCAGAAAACTCCTTGTCGGGAACAAATCTGTTGGTCTTTATTCTGGCTTCTAGATCATCTCCATACATGTCCTTGTCCAGATTTTTACTGAGCCTATAAATACTCTGGGCCATATCTTTACCACCTCTCCAGGCTTGATCATAAACATTATAAATTTCATCTTCTCCACCTACAAATCCACTGTCCATACCCTTGGATTGGTTGAAGAGCCACTGGTTGTATTGAACTTCATTGGAAGTACGTGGATTGGGCACACCAAGAGCAATGACTTCACTGATATCCCGATTTTCATTTCTCTGCAGTTTAGACCTCGTATCAGGAGCTGCTCTGGAAAGATTCCTATCATGCTGTCTCTCTTTTCGCCTATCATGCCGGATTTCATCTCTCTCACGTGCCTTCCCATCCTCTTTTTCCACATGGGTTTTGATTCCAGCTCTCCTCTCTCTGGCTTTTTGGGCCATTTCTCTAAGTTTCTCTTCATGCTTCTTTTCTTTTTGAGCCATCTTTCTCTCTACTTGGGCATGCATATCCACAGCTTCACAGGCCTTCTGATCGGCAATGTAGAGGGCTTCAGCCAGTTTGGCAAAATTTTCATTTATATGTACTGTTTGTAGTCCTCTTCCATCAGCAGCTAGACGTTTGTCTAATGGAATTGTATAACCCTTTGCATTTTTCCAGTTTGAAATGCAAGGAGGAATCTTCCACTCTTGTTGTTCCTTTACAGTCATCTTTCTGCTGGGAGAATGCATGACAGGTGCAGGAGGAGAAGGTGGTCCCCGGGGAATTTTCCTATTAATCTTGAACCTTGGTGGCTCCATTGGATCTTTCTGCATTTCTACCATTTGAATAATTCTCTGTTTAGCTCCAGAGTTGAAAGCCACTCCTTGCTGAGATGGCGTATATTGGATATACTAAGCAGGAGCCAGTTTATCAGCTGCTCGAACTGGCATGGCGGCAGCAACCTTCTGTGATACAGATTTCTCTAAGGCTACCCTTGTCTTTTCTGTTATCTGAAATAAAAAGAATCACATTGAGTTGTTTGGAAGTTAATAAAGATGTAAAAAGTTATCTCAAATAATTATATATATATCAATTCCCAGTTACCTCTTTAATAGCTTCTTCATCGGGTCTTTGCAGGTCTGGATCATCTGCATTCATAACCTCCTTTGGAACCAGGTCAGTGTATTTACGATAAATGACCTTGTCTTTTGACTGTCCCTGTCGAACGATTGCATCATATTTAATCTTTCCTTCAGGATCCACCTGAATGGCTAGTGCATTCGACATTTTTTTTTAATCCCATATCCAATGGGTATTGGGCCACATGGATCTCTAGAAAGGCTCCTCCATCTCCAAAATGCTCTAATAAACGAGGTATCCATCCTTTCCGGTACCTGTAAGGGGGAGGTTCTCTTCGGGATGAGACCAGTGAAGTCTGCCGTGATCTTTGGGATCTTGCTTTTTCTTCGGCCTCAAGCTGGTCCTGAGATAGCTGAGTAGGTGCAGGTAAAAAGCTGGTGAGCACCATCTTCTACCGCTTCTTCCAGCGCCAAACCTATGTATTCCGCAGGTCTCATTTGGTGCTATTTTCTTCTTGTGGGTGCATGTGATTTATCACACACACTCTCAGCTGTAAATATTTTAAATGTCTGTAAGTGGCTACATAGAATCTTTCTGTGTTTACACTTTTCACCTGTAAAATGAGATAACATCAGAATACCTGCCATGTAGTTATCAAGTCATGTATGCAAATATTCAGTGCATTCACCAGAGAGAGACAGAGAGTGGCAGTGAGAGGGAGAGTGAGAAATCACCCCCAGAGGGAATAGGCACACTGCAACCCCTTCTCCTCCATTCTCCTCCTGGGATTTGGGGTATGCACACATGTGCCTGGCATGATTTTCAAGCCATCAGGTCTGGGACTTGAAGCACTGTCAGCCATTTGGGGATCCTGTGCTTTACCCACTATGCCACCTGCTGACCCTCTTACCTTCAAACTTTAATGATAGGCTAGCTAGCTATAGGATTCTAGGATGAAAATTGTTTTCTCTTAGTCAATTGTAGTCTTTTTTTTTTTTTTAAGAAATTTTTAGGGGGATTTTTGTTATAGGGAGCACACTCTTGCTGAAGAGAGAGAGACAGAAAATGAGAAATCACCCCTCACAGGGATGGTCATGCTGCAATCCCTTCTCCTTCATTCTTTTCTCACAATTTTGGGTATGCATACACACACACACACACACACACACACACA